ACACACACACACACACACACGTACACACACACACACACACACACTCTCACACACACACACACACACGCACACACCCCTCAAGGAAAAGCAAGTCACATACATAAAAATCTGTTGCACTGCAGTTTGAAGAAGCGGCAGTCGACTACCCCCGCCCTTGATATCTTTCTGGAGAAGGCAAAGAAAAAGATTCATGATTATTTTACTGTTGTTACACTACTTACACATTTGTTGCTAAAGTTTCAACGAGACACGGGATACACAAAGGACAGTGTCAAAAAGTCCAAAATTAACCAATTCTTTTTTTGACTCGAAATGTGAGGATTTCGATCATTATTCGATTCTAATACATTCATGAGAAAACACAGGTTTTGTAAAACCTTTGAAAAATATCCATAATATTTTTGTTATTGCTCAGACGACATATTTCCAAGAAAACGAGAACAGACGGATATGAAGATTCATTTGTACCAACTGCAGTGAGGTTACTTAATAATGAAACAGAGACAGAGAGAGAGAGAGAATGTTTACAGAGTGGAGGTGTTTCAGCTCGTGATACATGTACCTTTTATGTCCTTTTTTTGTTTTTTTTTGTTTGTTTTTTTGTTTTGTTTTTTTGTTGTGTGTATGCGTGATTGTAGCGGACCTTCATAACACCACTGGCTTTGTAAACGTCCACGACAAATTTCTCCCTTTGAGATGAATGAAGATTGTCATTGAGTCACTGTGATTGTCAAATCTGTTCTCACGGGTGGTTGGTGGGTGCTATGGTGTGGTTTGTTTCTTCTTTCCTATCAAACATCTATCGGCTTTATCTCCCCTCCTTTTTTGTGTTTGTTACTCTCTTGTAACACCTCTAAATCTTCGGCACTTCTATGACCTTATTGTGTTGCAAGTGCCGTAAAACTCTTACTAAAACTAAAACTTTAAAAATCTATCGTCAGAACTGTGGCTGCCACCAAACTGAACGAGTGTTCCAGCCGCAGCCACAGCATTCTCATGCTGAAGGTGCTGCGCAAGGTTCAGGGCCGGACGTACCGCGGCAAGATTTACCTCATCGACCTGGCTGGCTCCGAGGACAACCGGCGTACGGGGAACTCGGGCATGAGGTGACGTTCTCCTGGTTTTTTCCTTTTCAATACTGATTGTTCGAGATATGACACGACATACATTTTGATGTCTGTTTGTTATAAGAAACCTTGCCAGTACGATAAAAATTGCCCAAGACGGCCACCCATTGTCGAGGAGAAAAGTAGTTGCCTTCTCTCTCTCTCTCTCTCTCTCTCTTTCTCTCTCTCTCTCTCTCTCTCTCTCTACTCTGGCACGGGGAGAGAGGCTGATGATGATGATGACGATGATATACGTAGATAAGTGGGAAAAAAATGTTTGGTTTGGTTTCAAAACATTCCTTTTTCTTTTGTCTGTGTGTGTGTGTGTGTAGGTTGAAGGAAAGTTTTGCCATCAACAAGTCGCTGTTTGTGCTTGGAGAGGTTGTGGACGCCATCAACCATAACCAGGTAAGCCATCTCCTGTTTCCGCCGAGGGTTTTAAGGGATCACCGTTTTCCGCGGTCATGAGAACTTCCCAAAATCTGCGCCGGTAGTCGTTCCGCCCCGGACTTACATCTGGCAGCGGTATGCATTGACTTGAGTAGCCTGAGACCAGCCCTAAGGGTTAAGGTTAGGATTAGGAAAGTAAGTGAAATGTGTCTATATTTGGGGGGGGGGGGGGTTTTGC